GTGTGCTGTTTAGTCAGAACTAACAGATAGGTGACTAGAAGATTTTCAGAGGCAGTTCATCTCACAAAAGAAGATTTCCCATCCTCCTCCCATGGAGCTGCTCTTGGATTCAAACCACGTGCCATTGAGATTGCAGCACAGCTTCTTACCACTAGGCCGCCAGAGCTCCCTTCAGTTAGTCATGGGGAAGTTCAAACTGAAGTTGATGGAAATGAAAACAAGTTCATGAAAACCAAAATATAACCTTAAATGTCTTCAACTGAATTTAAAAAACAAGAATAGATTGATTATATTGAGCACCAATGACCAAAGCCCAGTTGAGTTGGAGGATGACCTCTATGAGAAAGCAAAATGTTATTGCAAAGACAGTAAAGAAAGAAAATACTAAACTGGATGTGAGAAGAGACTATGAACTTTACACAAGGATGGAGGCAGGCCAAAGAAAAGGGAGAAGGAAGTTTTGAGATTTTTTTTGTCTCAAAAAGACAAATTTTTACTATAAAGCAAAGTATTATAACAAGATGTGCTAAGAACACCAGTTACAAAACCAAAAGGGAAGAACACATTCAACTATACTCAGGTTGAAAGTAATGAAGAACCATTTCAGTCATCCGGTTGCAATACTGATGAATTCTATGGGCAAAATCTTGAATAATGCAGGAAGCTTCAAAAAAAGATAGAAGGAATACATAAGTCATTGCACCAGTCAACTAGTCAACAAAGAATTCTTTCAGGAAGTAATATATAATCAAAAATCAATGGTACTGAAGGAAGAAGTTCAAATTGCACTGAGGTCATTGGCAAAAATAAGGCCCCTGGAATTTATAGAATACTAATTGACATGTTTCAACAAAAAATACAGCATGGACTTGATAAATAGGCTGTGTCAAGAAATTTGGAAGACAAGCACCTGGCCAAATGATTCAAATAAATTATTTCCCATTCCAAACAGAGGAGATGCAACAGAAGGTGGAAATTTGAAAAAAATTAAAACCCACCAAACACACAAATAACGACATTGGGAATGTTTTCATTTTTTGTGCACATTCTCTTCTCCTCTGCCCTCCCCCACTACCACAGCCTTCCCCGCAATACACCCCTTGTTCCAGATGGTTGCCACACATGTAATCCCTAATCATATTATTTTCAGACAGTTCTTCCTCTCATCTGATCTATTGTAACTCATTATCTATCCACTCTTTTCCTATTCTCTCCCCAACCCCCCAGCAACTCAAATGCTCATCAGCAAACAAATTTCAGTCACAAAAGGATAAGTACTGCCTAACATTGCTTTTATAAAATAGCACAGACGTGGAGAGTGGGGTTGGAGAGGGACTGGGGAAAGAGTGGAGAGAAAATAAACACTGCACTAGAACAGATAATGGGAAGAACTGTTTGAAAGGATTGTACAATTAAGCATTACATGTATGAGAATCATCTGGAACAAGCGATGCATTGTGGATTGAGGTGGGGACTTGGAGGGGATGGGGAAGAAAATAGACAACAATGAATTCATTTTAAAAACAGAATTATGTATACTGAATTGAAACAGATGAGGGAGAGAACAGTTTAGAAGTGATATATGATAGCATATTAAGATTATCACAGGAATCCAGAATTAAGGTTGCATAGTGGAGTGCATTGGGGGTGGGGGTGGAGGCTGGGAGATTATATACTAACAAAGAAGTTTATCTTTTGCTTTTCAAAGAGTGGGGGGGATTAAGAAAAAAGTGCAAAAATGAATGCATGAAAATCCAAAATCTCTGTAAATGTTCATTAAAATTAATAAAGTAAAATTTAAAAAAAACAGAATAAAAAAATTGGTTGGACCTATTTTTATGACTCAGATATTTTAACATAGTTTCCTCCAGGCTACTCCATGTTATGTAATGCTTTCCGAGTTCACTGCTTTAGAATGCTGGGTAATACTCCATTGTGTGAACGTACCATAAGTGGAATTTTTTTAATACTATTAATATCATGCAAGTAAAATCTTTCTGAAGATTATTCCAAAATGGCTGGAACAATATATCAACAAGAAACTAACACAAGTTCAAGCTGAATTCAGAAGAGATTATGATACAAGGTATATCACTGCTGATATCAGATGGACTTTGACTGAAAACAAAGGATACCATAAAGGTGTTTACTTGTATTTTATTAATTATGCAGAGTCATTCTCTTGGTATTCCTTTTTTTGCTGTACAACTTTTACGTGCATATGAGGTCACTGAAAATACCTTAGCCTGACTCAGGTTCATCTTAGGCCTCAAAGTGATGTCTTTTTTATTTAGCATTTTAAAGAGCTCTTTTACAAGGAATTTTCCAAATTCAATACATCAGTTGATTTGTTGACAGCAAATTCCATGGATGGCTACTTCTGTCAAGAGCTCTGGTAGAAATGCAATGCTAATCCAGAGGCATGCAGTTTGAATCCACCAGAAGCTCGATGGGAAAAAAAACGAGAAGTCCTCTGAAAACCTCCTGGCGTGTAAATCATGAGTCATTTCCAACTCAGTGATACCTAAAATACTTGGGTCAGCACTTCTGCTGATCCAAGCAAAATTAAATCCTTGACAGCCTCAATTATTTTCTCCATTTATTTATTGATTTGATTGTGAGCCTATTTATTTTGTTTATACTAAAGTGTAATGTATACTGAAGGCTGTAGCCTGATTTACCAGTAATTGTTTCAAGTCTTCATTAATCATGTCTTACACAGTTTTGCTATGCATCCAAAGAGGTTTCTCATATTTTAAAAAGTAATGGTAAAGAAGAATAATCAGGATATATCATTTCTATAAAATTTAGATTTGTCAGACAATTCTAAATTTGATATTCAGAAGTTCTCTTTTTCAACTTTTGCACACAGGTTGAAACTCTTATATTTACAGATATTCATGAAGTACTCACTGAGTAAAAACATCTCTACATTCTCCCAAATAGATTGAGAGCATACTCATAATGGATTAAGGATTCCAAATGTCAAATTATACTAGAAGAAAAAAGATTTTGTTGTAGTCTCAGTTGTCCTTATGGAAAAGTGAAGAGAGATTAGAGTATCACTTGGTTTAAAATAAGAATTATTGTTCTGATTGCTGTTGTATGCCATCAAGTCGCCTGCAACGCATAGCAACCCTGTGGACAACAGTTCTGAATCCTGCTCTATCCTGAGCTAACATTATTGTCCCTGACACACCTACCCCCATTACCCCAGTCACTGAGTCAATTCATCTCATGGAGAATCTTCCCCTCCTGTGCTTTCCCTCCACCCTCCCATGCGTAATATTCCTCTCCAAGGACTGGTGCCTCCTTGCAAGATGCACAAAGTATGACAGACGGAGTTTCAGAATCCTTGTCTCCCAAGGAGCAGCCTGGTTTCACCCTCTCCAGGATGAACCTAAAATAAAAGATCTGTAACATTAATCCAATACAGAAAATTATTTCACAATTGTAACTGATAATTGACTAATCATTACTCTTTCCTCAATTTGCTCATGTGTAAAGTAAGTGTTCTGAACAAACCTATCATTCATTGTTACTTCTGCTTCATTGGTCTAGGAAATAAATTGTGTGTGTCAATGTGTATTTATAATGACTAAGGAAGACAAAAAACAAAAGACAGAAATTAAGTAACAATGAAAAAAATGCATTAAATGTTCATAATATGATAAAGAAATTCTTATATAACAATATGAAGTCTAATTCAAAACAATTTTACTTGTCAGAAGGAAGATTTCTTTTTCTCTTGAAAGGGTATATTGAAAACCTTCAGTATCATTGTAGCCTCTTTTGAAGAACAATTTTTATCTTTTGGAAATGTAGATTTAAAGATTGAAAAGTCTTGTATTTTGAACATCTGTTGCTGTCAAGCTAAATCTGAATCATAGACACTCTGTATGATAGAGTAGCACTGTCCCCTGTGGTTTTCAAGACTTTAAATTTTTATGGAAAATGACTGTAGTGTTTTTCTCCTTTAGAGTGGCTAGTGGGTCCTAACCATTAGCCAACTTAGCCTACTGTTTGGCCATTGAACCACCATAACTCCTGACCAAAGTTGTATTTAAGAAACAAAATCTATTGAATACAGGTACTTCCACACGAAAAATAAAAATTATGATTCGAAGAGTTTCAACTTATAACAAACCTTTATGGGAGACTAGATCTCTCCATAAGATTTTCAAGGTTTTAATTCTTACTGATACAGATTGTCATATCCTTATCCCAAGTGATTGGCAAATTTGAACATCTATCCATTTAGTTAATTAATAAACACTTTAATCACTGTGCCACGAGGTGCCTTAGGTCCTTACACAGCTTTATTTGGGGTTTCTTTTGACAATCAATGATCTATGTCCCCGAAGGAAAAAAATCACCCCCAAAAAACCCAAATCTATTTTAGGTGGTGGTGATGTGTACTGTTCAATCAGAAACTCATAACTGAACCTCCAGTGGGTTTTCAGAGATATTAAAATTGCACAAGAGATATTACCCACCTTTCTTCCAGAGATATTAAAATTGCACAAGAGATATTGCCCACCTTTCTTCCAGAGATATTAAAATTGCACAAGAGATATTGCCCACCTTTCTTCCACAGAACAGCTGGTGAAGTTGAACCACATACCTTTATGTTGGCAGGTACTAGATGCTAGTTATTTTGGATATATTGAATGCACTCTTCTTTATTTCTAGTATCAACTTTTTCTTTTTTTTTTTTTTTGCCTGTTCTAGCAAGCTTTGAGAGAGCTCTGGTGGCCTAGTGGCAAGGAGCTGTGCTGCTAACCCTAAGAGAGACAGTTCAAGTCTGCCAGTTGCTCCCCAGGGGAAAGATGAATAAGTGGGGTTTATACAGTCTTGAAGCATCATTCTAGTCATAGGGTAATGAAGAAATTACTTTTCACCATTTAATTGTATATAAAGGAACAGATTTAAAACATCTTTTAAACCATATCTCAGTATCGTTCTTTGCCTGATGCGTTGTCCTTAATTATGTATTTCAGGCCCTCCTTGATACACAAAATCTATTGCGAGCGCAGATCACAAATTTCACTTTCAACCTGGGATTTTCAGGAAAGTTTTATCATACAGGTAAGAAAAAGAGAGATAACTGTTCTCATTGAGGGTTTCTCTAATCAGCTTTAAAACTGCATGTCTCTCCTGCTCACACCTTCCTGTATTTCTTGTTTTCTTCATATCATTCAACTTCATTTAACATTACACTATTTAACATTTGCTGTTATTGTGATTGTGTATTCTTAAGGAAGAACTGACTTACAGGCTACTATCCAGCAGGTTTTCAGAGGGAGTAAATTGCACATAAGATTGTCCATCTTTCTCCTGTGGAACAGCTGCTGGATTTGAACCACGTACTTTCATGTAGTCACTGCAGCTATTTTTCTGATTTATTGTGATTTTTAAAAAGTTTGCCGAAAGGTTGGATTTTTATTCATTCATTGTTGCACATTTTCCTCTCTCCGTTACCCTTCCCCTCCCCCACTTTGTAATGCACCTCTTACTTCAGACTATTGTCATATATATAATGCCTAATATATTCCTTTCAAACAGTTCTTCCCCTCATCTGCTCCAATGCAGTGTTTGTTATCTAGATACTCTTCCTATTCTCCTTTCTGGCCACCCATATCAATACTATTTTATAACACTGATGTTACATACTATTTATCCTATTGTGACTGGGATATTTCACTCACCATAATTTCTTCCAGGCTCACTTGTATTGTGTAGTGTTTTATAAGTTCATTGCTCCTCAGTGTTGCATAGTATTCCGATTGTGAATGCACCACAGTTTTCCATTTGTTTGTTGATGAGCACTTGATCTGCTTCCATTTTTTTGCTGTTGTGAATAATGCAGAAATATATCTGGGTATGCATACATTTCTTTACCATTAAGCCACCAGAGCTCCCTTCTTAACATTTATAAAATGTAGGTTTGAAAGTTTATTAATTTTTTTATATTGTTGTGTTGTTATGTGAGATCAAATCACTTGCAACTCATAGCTATCTTATTTGCAACAGCTCTGAACCCTGCTTTATCCTGTGCCAACCTATATTGTGTCAACCTTATTTTATCTGACACACCTACCCATTACCCCAGTCACTGAGTCAATCCATCTGATTGAGGGTCTTCTCTTGCACTGTCCCTCAATCCTCCCAAGCAAGATGGTCCTCTGTAAGGATTGGTCCCTCCCTGCAACATGCCCAAAGAATGACAGATGGAGCTTCAGAATCCTTCTCTCCAAGGAGAAGCCTGCTTTCACCCTCTCAAGGACAAGCCTGTTTGTTCTCTTAGCCATCATGGCTCATTCAATACTCTTCTCCAGCATCTCAACTCAAAGACATCAATTCTCTTTCTGTCAACCCGATTGTTGTGTGCACCATCAAGTTGGAACCAGGCCATAGCAGACCCTCCAGTGGGTTTTCAAAGGCATTCTTTTTTCCCCATGGAGCAATTGGAGTATTCAACCCACATACTTTTAGGATTCCTCCTTGTATTGAACTATAATTTGCATACATAAATTCTATAGTTATAAGTGTGATGTGTACTATTTTTTCCCTACATGTACACAGCTGTGTAACCTGCATCCAGATGAGGAGAGAAACACTGTCAGAATCTCCTGCTCTTCCATTATCTTATAGCCACTAGATTCCTTCTAATATCTTAAATCAGAAACCTCTAATATCATGCATTTTTGTCTGTGTGGCTCTGAAACCTAGACATATAAAGAATCATATAGTTCATTTTATTCAACATTATACTGTTTATATAGTTATTATTGTGTGCACTTTGGTGTCTCTCTGGAGACTAATGTGTGCCTGATACAGGCCATGGTTTTTGCAATCACTTGTTATGCATCAGAGAGTTGGACAATGACTAGGGAGGATAGAAAGAGAATTGACGCCTTTGAGCTGTGGTGTTGGAGAAGAGTATTGAATGTACCCTGGACTGCCAAGAAAACAAACAGGTTCATCCTGGAGAGGGTTGAACCAGGCTGCTCCTTGGAGACAAGGATTCTGGGGCTTCGCCTGACATACTTTGGACATGTTGTAAGGAGAGACAGGTCTTTAGAGAGGGACATCATGCTGGGTAGGGTAGAGGGACAGCACAGGAGGGGAAGACCCTCTATGAGGTGGATTGATTCAGTGACTGAGGTAATCAGGATGGGTGTGTAAGAGAGGCAATGTGATTGGCACAGGATAGAGCAGGGTTTAGGGCTGTTGTACATAGGGTCGCTATGAGTCGCAAACGACTCGATGGCACATAACAACAACAACAACACTTAAAATGTTTTTATTTTCACTTCTGTAAGTATTCTGTTCTCTGAGCACACAAAACAATTTTTTTAAATTTTATTTTAGCAAAACAATTTTTGTATTGATTCCATTCTGTTGAAAGTGGTTGAATGTTTCCTGCCTTTGGCTTTTTTTAAAGTAACATTTTTGTGGTTTTGTTTGGTTTGCTTTTTAGTCTATACTTTGTTTATTATTGTATAAAACAAGGTAAAAACAGTCCAATTTCCCTTCATAATAACCACTTAGAGTGAGAGGTGTTGACCTTATCCTACACTTACTTCTTTGACACAGACCCAACAGCCTTTAAACAAGATACAAATTGATTTTATGTGCTTTTTTGGTTTGACTGAAGTGCCAGCAATGGACAGTTCACCATAAATAAGGAAAAATGGAATGGAGATCCAACTGCTGGGGACTTAATTAAAGGAATGTTTTTGCAAAGATATTTATACCTACTATTTAGAGGAAATAAACATTGATTTCTGTTAGTTTTCAATTAGGAGTGGCATTGCTAATTATATAACATGTATTTGTAATCAGATATAGTAATTCCAAACTAACTTTTCATTGTTATTGTACCAGTTTATATTCTCAAAAGTGTTTGAGAGTTTTTGTTGCTCCCTAGCCTTAGCAGCATTTGACAGCATTTGCCTTATTTTAGTCTTTCTGATTTAGCAGTATCAAACTGTTTTTAAATTGCATTTCTCTGATGAGTACATATTTTTAAGAAATTTGTTTTTTTATTTTATTGTTTTTGTGTGTGTGTACTGTCAAATCGAATCTGACTAGTACAGGAGGACATTGCCCCTCCTTCTCCAGCAGAGCATCTGGTGGATTCAAACTGCTCACCTCTGGGATTGCAGTGCAGCTTCTTGCTAAGAAATCTTTTGTTGTCAAAATCTGAAAACTTGACGGAGAGTCAGCCAACTTGAGAGAAATGAATAACTGACAGAATTTATTCATAACAATGTCTAATTAATCTCTAGGGAGCTCAGGTGGACTGGTGGTAAGGAGCTGGGGTGCCAACTCAAAGGCACAGTGTTCAAATACACCAGTCACCCATGCTGAAAGATGAGCAGTCTCCTGTTGTGTGATTTCCAGCCTCTGAAAACCTGCTGGAGAGTCAGCTCTGAGTCAATTCAGAGTCTGTTCTAACTCAACAGCATGTAACAACAACTATTACTCTCTTGTTTCATATAGCCTTTTGATTAGCTTTTTATGGCTTTCTTTAAAAAAAACAACAACATTGAATATACTAGGAACCCTAGTAAAATTGTTGTGTGTTTTTGAGTCACCTGCAACTCATAGTTGACAGCACAAATCCTTACCACTTGGTCACTAGAGCTCCCTTATGCAGTGCTATTCTCGTAATGCATACGTTTTATAATTATTTTAATGTAAATGTTCCACAACATTTTCTGTTTTAACTAGTTCTAAGAGTAGAATTTAGTGTAAATAATTAATGCTAATCATGTGGAACTAGAACCACTCTTTCCAAGTGTTCATGATCTAGCCTAAAAGTACAGTGTTGTCATTTGCATACAGAAGACTCTTGTTAATGCAACTTTAGTTCAAAAATACTCATCAAGCAAAAGAAGAACAGATAGAAGAATTCTACCAACTTCTGAGATCTGAAATTCATCAAACAGGCAATTAACATGCATCAATAAAAATTGGTGACTAGAATACAGAAATTAGAACCAAAGAAAGTCTGGTAGTAGAAAAATACTGACTTGAAGACAGGAACAAAACTAGACATTGCATGGTAGAATTTTATGCAGTAAATTACGGATTGAAAATATCTTTTTCAAAAAACATAAATGGCAGCCATACACAGAGATACACAGAAATTAGATTAACTCTGTCTATGAATAGACAATGGTGGAAAATATGACAGTCAAATAAGAACAGGGGCTGACTGTGGAACAAGCCATCAATTAATTATGTGTTAGTTCAAAGTGAAACTGAAGAAAACTAACATAAATCTGGAAAACCAAAAATACAATTGTGAGTTTATCTCACTTGAACTTATAAACCATCTCAAAAATATATTTGATGCATTAAACACTAATGAACATAATTGTGGGATTGCATCAAGTAGATCATATATGAAGAAAGTGAAAGATCATGAAAAAGACAGAAAAGAAAGACCAGAATGGATGTCAGAAGAGATTGAAAGAAGATAACAATAATAATAAAGGAAATAATAAAGAGACCTGAAGATATTTCAAAGGATTACTCAGGAGGACAGAGCAAATATTACAATAAAATGGGCAAACAGTTCAAGTTAAAGAATACAAAAGGTGGAATATAGGCATTTCTCAAGTCTAAAAACTACCGGAAAAATGTGAAACCTCTAGTTGAAATTTTAAAGGATTCTGTGGACAAAATATTGGAAGATACAGAAAGCATCTGAAGAACATGCAGTAAATATACAGAGTCTCTTTATAAAAAAAGAATTTGTTTCATATTTCACCTCTTTTTGTGAGTCTTCTCCTTATAGTTCTTCTATTTGCATGATAAAGGAAGTAGTTACTCATAAGGGCAATTACTTTTATGTTTCTTCCTCTTAATTATGTCTCTCCTTCTGTTGTTCTGAGTTAAAATACAATGATCAACCCTAAACAATTTCACAAAGCAGAATATGATCAAAAACCGATGATACTGAAAGAAGGAGTCAAATGTGCACTGAATGTTTTGGCAAAAAAATATAGTGCCAGTAATTGATGGAATATTAATTAGGATGTTTAAGCAAAAGATGACATTCTGGATGGGCTAAG